TTTTGCTGGGGCAATGAGACTTGGTAGGATGTACAGTCCATGCTTCTGGGCAAGATTAATAAATTCAAGCAGAGTTTTTATAAACCAGTCACATATTTAGTCCTTCAGATTTTGCAAAAGGTAATTCTACAAAAATTACTCATTTGTTACCCTGAATAAAGGCAGTGGAACAAACGTGTGGAGGCTACAATACATGACTGTCACTGTTGGTTTTTTTTTCCTTGCAGTAGGTTTTAAGATCCAGGCTTTTGGGAACTAGTTGCCAAGTTTATAAAAACTCCATCCACGGTCTTTTAATAAAACTTTGGAAGAAAATCAGTCAGCTAAAGCTAATGCTCCTTCTAAAGCGCTATTTAGCGACACAGACATTGCAATTATTCAAATGTTTCACAGAGGCTGACAATAATATACTGTCCACCTAGATTAAATATATAAAAAGCAAACTTTTATCTAATTTTTACATAGATGGCACAACAATAGGTGAAACTGAATTATTCTAGCTGCTGATTCAACAGTGCATTGGACACGAGAATAAAAATACTGCAGCTAAAAATATTGTAAAGATATTTCTGCACACCTGTTAACTGCTTAACCATTTAGATCCCCGGAGAGATGGATGCAACAAAGCCTTCGCACAAATCTTTGTACAAAGCCACAGGTGCCAACCCTGTGGATCACATTCTGCTATCGGAGGCTCATGGATCGAAACAGTTAAGGGACCACAGTAGCAGCAATGATAAGGATGGTAATTTAATTGATTCTGACCCTTCTGACACTGCTGACACTGGAGCTGAACAGCCTCAGTGTTGGTATCACCTGCTTCTCGCTGCAGGCTCCTGAGCCACTTGAATTGGATTAAAAACCATAACTTGTTGCTGGTTGATGCTTGCAGATATTAAGCACCATAATAGAACAGCTACAGTAGTAACTGTAGGACTGAGGGACTTTGTGCTGTTAAAAAGAAAAAGGTGGTATCTTGAATGGAGAGAAAGGGACAGAGTTATGAACACAACATGTAACCCAACTCAAAAATTACTTCATCCTGCGTGGGGACAACCTAGGCAATCCCCAACACGGAGAGCACTTGGTTCTTGGACACATTTCTACAGGCTGACCCTGCACAAAAGCACAGCAGGCAGCAAAACAACACACACCTTTGTCTGCAAACAAAACCTGAGAGATTTAATTTTAGGGTCACTGCATGTAGTGGCTTCCTTATCAACTTTCTCAAATTCTGGGGATTTTACAAAAGATGAAGTTCCCCAAGAGCAAGTAGATAAACCCAAATGAGGTGTTGATCCATGAATACATTAGGCCCTCAGGAGCTATTAGGTAGCAACTGACCCTTACGGGGCTCAGACGTGTACAAGATGAGTGTAAAATCCCAGCAATGGTAAAGATTTGGGGAAAACCAACAGAATAGAGAAGTTTAGAAACAATTGACCCTTTCTTAGGCAGTTGAGGTTCAGATCATGTGGTATTTTGAGACATTCTAGCCCTCTCTCCACTGCATGACATGACAAAGTGCAGCATCGCTTATCATGCTACTTCTGCTTCAAATAAAACCACGTGAGAACAGGATCATGGTCACAATTCCTGTCTGGCTTCCAGGTTGAGGTCCAGTCCATGACAAGGTGGGAGAAGGAAATAGAGTGCGGTTTCTTTTTTTCTTTTGTCTTTTATTTTTCTAAGAAAATTCCGTGACTCAAACATTAACTGATGAGAATGCACAAGAGGTCATGCAAAAGAAGGCAGGTCTGAAATGCTGAAAAACAAACCAACAAAAGAAAACTGCAAAGAGATTTAACAACAATGAGCCACAAAATAACGTGACCCTCGGGAAGGTGGGTGCAGGCAAGGCAACAGGGCGAGCATGCAGACTGAAACGAGAGCAAAACGGAGGTCTTTGTGACGAGCAAAATGGGGCTTCAAACCAAAATGCCAGTGTCTCTGTGTGTGTCTGTGTGTGAGAAAGAGGAGGGGGGATAAAGAGGAGGGGGCAGAGAGAACAAGCAGGAAAACAAGCGTACATACGTGAGCTTGAAGGCTTTCAAGAAACAGCAAGGTCATAAGGATTTAATACTTGGAATGAGCATCAGCCTAGATTTAAAGAAAAATAAAGGCTGACAAGTATTAGTGACCTTTTGGAGAAAGCAGAATATTGAATAATGCACATGGATCAAATTTAATATCTGCAACTTCAGAGCCCAGTCCAGCTGCTGTAACACTGTTCCTAGGGGAGGCTCTCCACAGGTACACACCTCCTGTCCAAGTGATCTGATGAGACATCCTGCAGGATTAGCACTAAAGGCACCGTGTGAAATGCTGATGGACCAGTGCATACACTCAGATGGACTGAGGGACAAGGGAGGAGAGAAGACAGACCAATACATGCTTGGGACTCTCTGCTTACCCTTTGCATCAAAGGGCAGCCAGCGGTTCTTTGACCAGTGTTGGGAGGAAATGGGTGGGGGAAAGTGTTGGTTATGTTTTAGGGAGGGGCTGTGCCAAGCTAGCAGAAGAGTGGGAAAGGCTGAGAAGTTAATCTGAGCCACAAGTAGCATGCCATGAAAAAGAGCAAGCGTCTGAATGGTTCTGGGATGGAATTTGGATCTGAATTTTTCAAGTGGGAACTCCAGACAAGACTGGGAGTCTGGCTTTCCATGGGTGTGTTTTAACTGCCTGCAGGGTAAACAGACCATTTTGTTTCTCCTTCTGTGACAAGCTCGCCCCGAGGTTCTTGCACCAGCACAAACACCTTTAGGAATCTAAAACATAAGAAAGACAAAAAGAAAGAGACTGGATTAGAAAGAGGGTAGAAAACAAGATCCCTTAAGAGTAGCACTGCTTGCAGGAAGTTAAAGGAAATACAGCACCAAGCATCTACCAGGTTATGAGGGGTTAAGGAAAGCTCCTGAACTCAGGCATACATTGCCAGCACTCAAACAGTCATCGTTCACCCTCCAGCCTAGGGAGGAGCATCAGTGGACACAGCTCTCCTCTGGGACGAGGATATAAAACTCAGAGAGGACCCCACCACCACCTTCTTAGTGCAACAGAGAAAACAAACAGCTTTCTAATCTTCAATCTGCAAAAGAGTACTGGACCTGTACAAGTGACAGCTCCAGAGACCATGAATGATACTGAAGAATAACAACAGGAAGCTAAAACACACTGAATTTTGCAGACAAATCCAGACTAGCTATCCTTTCCAAACAGCTGCAAAGGACTTTCATTCTTAAGGGAGGTCCAGAAATAAACAGGTGAGTGAAAGCAGTCTTAGCCTCTAACCTCATCTTTGTACCTTCCTGTACCCACAGACTTCTGGCCAAGGGTAAGTTTTCTCTGTGGCCAAGTAAAGCTACAACCCAGAAGTGTGATTTGGCCAGAGACTGCTGTATCCAAGGGAACACAGAACAACTCCAAACTTCCATCACATTTGAGAGAGCAGGAGAACCTTACAATCTCCCTTCCACCCACTTCCATAAAAGAAAAAACTCCAAATGGCACCACAAAAGTTTTCATAGAGCCACAACAGAATATATTTCCTGAAAAAGAATTTTATTTGTACTTAGTGTGGGAAGCAGGTGAAAAGCAGCTCTGGATGGACCATGTGCTTTCCCTTAGTAAAGTTAAACTTAAATGAATTGCCATTAAAAACAAAACAAAACAAAAAAAACCCCTCACAGGAATGAGAAAATATAATGTTTATTAGAAGAAGACACCATAGTACATCAAGCTATAAAGAGATTCCTGACAGATGATAATTCTTTAAAAAATAAGAATAGAAATGAAACAACCACACTGGCCAGATTTAACAAACCTCAACACAAAAGTTTCTATGCGAGTCCAACCAGATGCAGGCAGTTGAGTAACCAAAAACGCTTATCAACATAAGAGGGACTGAGTCATTATCAAAACAACAGCTAGGTTAAGCAGAAGAACAGCCTAGAAAACCATTTATATTTATACATATATAAAAGGATAAAAACAATTCAAATTCAAGTAACTTTAGTTTTTAAGTTATGTTATTTACATTTTTTTATATATTGGGAGAACTAAAGGCAAGTATTTAACAAAAGGATTTTTAAAAGCCACAGTCCAGTTTATAACTTCTATTTCCTAAATAATTTGGCAAGCATTAAATAAACAGATATATCCTAGATAAAAAGTGCATCAGCATGGTTAACTTCTACCTATTTATTTCTATAGCTCAAGGCTCTCCATAATGGTTACAGCAAACAGCAGAGCTGCAACACGGAGAATCACAGAGCTGTCTACAAGGATTTATTTGTGTAACTGGAGGTGAGGAGGAACAGACCCACAGTGGCAAACGAGCTGAAAAGTTAACCAGCTCATGGCTCCACATTTTTTTTTTTTAAATCAAAAACCAGCCTCTATTCCTTGCATGACACCCAAACAGCCAGTCTGTCTGGTGGAAGGAAACATGGCATTTTTGTTGGGTGCAACAGAGAGTTTAGATAAAGCCGGTTATTTCATGCAAGTTCTTTTGTGTATCACACTATTTCACAACATCCCTCAGTGAAAGACAGTTTTGTTCCCAAGATGATGAGGTACCATATTCAATAACACAGTATGGTCAGTCTTGAGCAAAAAGGCCCCACCAGTTCCTCTGTTTGACAGTCATCAGCACCAGATACTCGACAGGCACAGAAAAGCCCTGCAAGAAGCTGCACTCATGTGAGCACAGAGGAGTTTCCTTCCTTGTCCCCTAGCAGTCAGAAACTGGCATAAACCCCAAAACATGTATTTACATCTAACAGATCCAATTCTTAGTCTGCACGTTTTTTAGCATTTATAATAGTTTCCTGCACACATAGCAAAGAGAATGGCTCTCATTCTCACTGGGAAGGACAGTGCTGTTTACAACTAAATTCATACAGTTGGGCCAGTACTTTCATCGGTAGTGACTCACATTTAAATTTCAAGAGGTGAACTTATACATGCATCAGCTGAGTGAACAGGTACCTAACAGAGTCTTTCATTGATGGAGACAGGACATGTGCATTCATCTCTTCTAAAGAAAACCTTCTGAAATAGAGCTCTTAAAACAACCGTAGCAGCAAACCAGTAGAATAAAAGGTGAACAGGCCTATGCAAACCTACTCAGAGATTTTCTGAAGTGATTTGTACACATCTGGAAAAAAAAAAAAAGGTAAAACAAGATAGATATTACTGTTCTTTTTTTGTGACAGGGTTTGCTAACACTCTCTGAAAGAAGGTACCACTGTAAACTTTACAAACAGCCCTCACACAGGTATTTGCAGGAGTACGCAGCCCTAGCTTGGCTGCCACAAAGACTACGATCAGGAGGGCGACTGCAGCACACAACTTACCTGTCCTATTGATCTCAGGTTTGGCAGCAGAGCTCTGACAACTCGGGCTTTAGCTGGCTGAAAAAGCTCACCAGCTGCCAAGCAGGTTTTCACAAAGCATTTAGCAAGTGCATTTCGTGGGGGCAGAGCTGCCTCTGGCTCACGGCACTGGCACAGCCTGGTCAGGCAGGTATGTCTGGGAGAGAATTGACTCTGCTGACTCCAAGAGTCACAAATGTACTCGGAGCTGGTGGGAACGCTCCCACCCTTCACACAACTAACATTTAAAGCTACCAGCTGCTTGAGCTTCTTTCCAAAAAAAGAGAAAAGAACTACTCAAGTTTGTAAATGCTTTAGGCTTTACAGTGTCACCTGCAGGAAAAAAAAATGCTTCTGTTTCAAGGACTGAATAAAGTCACTCCTACTATTATATTAAAAATCAAATGAAAAATTTGCAGCTTGCAACAAAGTTTGTCTTTTAAACACAGCAGCACTTCCTGCAAATCTTTATACTGCCACTGGGCCATTTTATGGAAATTTCTCTTTTAGCTTTTCTTTAACCAGATAATTGAGAAAAAAAGGAAGTAAATATGTAAAGTTCCTTTACATTAGATATTTATTCTCAGACACATTTGATTTTGTTCCTGAAGTCCAGCAAAATTAATGGAAAAATTTAAAAGGATCTGAAAAACTTCCATCATTGCTACAAAAGTGGCTGCAACCCTAACAGCTTCACTCCCAGCACAGGCTGCAATTTTAGGATTGTTCTGCATCATCCAGTAACTTACATAATAACACTAACACACTAATATGATTTTCTGGCTGGTTATTGCAATACTGCTGCAATATTCTCTCCAGAAGGGTAAATTAGTGACAAACTTCTGCTAGTTCAGTTAGCAGGTTTGTGTCAGGATTTCTCACCCCACCCAGAGACAGGCTTTGCTTCACTTCCCATCCAGCCTGCTGCTCTGCTCACCAACAGGTGATTTGCTGTAATGTTCTGCTGATGTGAACACGCTTCATGTCTGAGGGCAGGGGAACTGTGCTTGTTACTTAAAACACATTTAGATGCCACAACTAGTGTAGCTGTTTCAACCAGCCCACATTGCTGAACAAGGTATTTTTACAGCAGAATAATAATGTTGCTTTCAGCAACTGTCACACACAAAGCAGCCAGTCTCCATAGGAGAAGAAACAGGGGTAAGAGATGAGTTCTTCCATTCTGAGCTTTCTGCCTTGCTCTCACTACGAAGGAGAAGGTACAACCCACATTCCTCTTTCCAAGGTTAACAAAAGCCAATGGAGCAGCTGAGCTTTTTGCACTCGTTTGCATCTCAACTGACCCTGTGTTTGCCAACACAAACATAAACCTAAAGTACTACAGCAAAATAAAACAAGACCCCAGACTTTAATCTGCAGCAGACAAGGCACTGCACTGTTTAATACCGAATTCAAGACAGTGAACTGATCGAGTTATAGTGTTTGTTTCTCTTCCTACTGTCCATAAATTCCAATAAGAATTGTTCAGTTTTCTTTTAAATTGGCAGTTTGTTTCACACCAAGAACTCTAAAGTCTGGGAAACAACAATAAGATGAAGGATTAAGTGACTGAAAAAAAAAAAAAGGCATAAATTATGCAGCAGTGGACTTCAAACACACCCTGATTTGAAACAGGACTAAAATCTTTTGATTTCCCAGTGCATTCCATTACCAGGTGTTCACGCTGCTAGCACATATTCTATGCAGGATTCCCCTGCAGCACTCCTTATATGTACAACACACCTATTTGTGAGGAATTAAAAGCAACAACAGAACAGAAGATTGCAGAGTCCAAGCTCTGAATGTCTCCATAGATCTTGTATGAGCAAAAGATTAAACCATTAGTTATGGTCATCTGAAACAGCAAGTACCTCTTCTGAAGTGTATCAAGGTGGGAAAGAATAGAGGATCTTTCTTAATGTTTTACTAATTTATCAAGGACCACCGAGTGCTGCATAGACAGGTTTTGGCAAAATCTCTCCTTCCCCTTCCAAACACACCAACTAAATGATGACCAAGGTGCCAATCCAAAAGGTCCAGAGAACACATAAGGCTCTAAAAAGCTACCTCACAGACACAAAATAGCAGTCTAAATATTTCCTATATAACATTCCACTGAATCAGTTTGGGACAAACAGCTGGCTTGTGAATGTGTCTGAGATGCCACCTAGGTATCTGAGGAGAGCCCATGTTATTCCAAATGGCTTTGTGTTTCCTGCACTACATGGGGCATGCAATGGCAGTGACAGTTGAACAAGCACTGTCTAGAAAAGGCTGCATTTCCCCTCTAGTTTTACAGTCTCCCACACTATCCTTCTCTGAGCAACAAAAAGCAGGTTTTGCAGTACAGCAAGCCATATTAGTCCATGTACAAAATAATGCACCTTGTGGCATTGTACAGACTCTTTAAAGGCTCCATCTGCAACACAGAGCAGTTTTGGGGTTGGATATCTCTGTGAAAGCAAATAAAGTAATAATAATAGTATTAAATGTAAGTCATAGCACCTTTGGCATTTTTGTCCAAATAGACTTCAACATACGACGTCGGGACATAGCCCTCCTCATCTTCGTTCCTTCGGATTCGTGTCCAGCCATCACCTTTGTCTTCTTCTATTACGTAGAGCATTTCTCCTTCTGCTACAGAAATTGTTCCTTCATTCTGACCTGAAAGACACAATAACACAGAGTTTAGGCTGTCCTACACAATGGGAACCACAGATGCAGTGGGAAGTGCTCAGGGCACACTGACAACATGCTGATGCAACCTTCATTGCATCACTAGCAGCAAGAACAAGAGCACATGATTCTGGAGACAACAGTGTGTACACAACCAGATGAATGTGATCCTGACATCAGTTTAGCTTTTCCTTGCAGAGTCCCTGCATAAAGGGAGACAAATCACTGTCTTATTGCCTCTCTGCAAAACAGAATCATGCCAGAGCCTCACTTGCTCTTTCTTTCTCTAAGTGCTGCAGGTGTTAAGCGAAGGTTTCCCACTTGTCCTTGGCATATGAACTAAAGAAAACAGTAAGTGAAATAAGAGTAAAATTTGAGTGATACCTTCAAATGTATAGAGCGCTTTACATGTTCCTATGGTGGGTAGTGGTTCTTCATCATCAAATTCATCATCAAAATCCGTTGCAGGTACTTTCATCTCAGTCTCCTGACTTTGCTCTTCTGTGTAACTGCCATCTGGGCTGCTCAAGAGAGGAAAATACACAGCAACTATAGCAACCAGTCTCAGGAGCAAGGAGAATGACTTGGTTACCAGACACTTAAGGCAAGGTGAGCAACTGCAGTTGGAGCAGCCCAGCAATTCCAAAGCAGAGTCAGAACTGGCTGTTACCATCAGCAGCTGTCACAGCGTGATGGGTAAGACCAGACATTTTTCCACATCAAAAGCTGTAAAAAAATGCACCTACCTCACTCACCTTCACAACACTGAGTGTAGGGGCTATGACACATTTCATCATATTCAGAGAAGTGGCTCCAAGTTGGGATCTTTATGCTAAAATCGGGCACTTCCTGGAGTGCCTGCCTTTACAGAGTAAGTTTCTGAATGCTGCAGAGCTTCAGTTTTCCTGATTAATAAGCTAAGGAAAGCGGTTCCAGGTGCCAGTCTGAACAGGCCAGCTCTGTACAGATACTGTACCTCTCCCGGTCCTGAGCACAGCTGTTCACTGCTGAAGTGTTCTGGGCTTCGTACAGTCCGCTCTGCCGCCGGGCCTGCTCAGTCCACATGGGCAGCTTGCCCTCCACCTCAGCCAGCCAGCCCTGCAAGGGGAGAGCAGTCTCTCACATCTCTCTTGCTTCAACTTCCAATGGGATATGTTGCTTTTACGTTGTTGTGTTTTATTTGACATTCAGACTATGGAACTAAAACCAGACTGTAAACTCCTTTGAGTTGCAGATGTTAGAGGGTATCGATTCTGTACTTTAAGTGTGTATTAAATCTATTGGTCTTGCCAAAAAACACACTTATTAAAAACTTGATTATTTTTTGACACTGGGTGTTGAAAACACCATGACCTGGAGTTAACAACAGCTGTTAACAACAAGAAGCAGTTAACAACAGCTGTTGGGAGATGCTGCTGTTGTAGTCACAATAAAGTAGAGACATGTGGCAGCTTATAGTACTCTCAATAACACCAGAAACAGCAATCTCAGTGACAGCTGAATGCAAGAGGACTAAAACTGCAGAGAATGAAAGACTCAGTGATTTTCAAATGGGTAAGAAAGCAATGGATAATAAAGACAACAACTGTAAGAAACATCTAAAATTAACGGGCTGTTATCTGTTTATGTACACAGTGTAACTTAGAGTGAAGTCTTTTTCTCGGCCCTTTAATACTTCTCGTGTAATTATAATGGCCTCATATATTCCAAATACTCCTTATGCTCTTGAGATTTTGTATCTCCAAGATGCTTCCTGTTAATGGCAGTCTATTCCTTAAAACATATTTCACCTGATGCATTCTGTCTTGCTGTTAGACTATAAATGGTGCTTTGCATTTATGTTCCTGATTTTCCACAGACATCTGTAATGTGATGCTTCAAATTATTTAATTAATTCAATAAGCATCTGAACCCCTCTGGGCAGTTCAGAGAGCATTACATTTTCTCTTATCCTCCATTTAGCACAATTTGCTTTCTATGGCAAATTAAACAGCAGGACTGTCGGCTGATAGTCACAAGAGATGGTGCATATTTATGTTAAACAAATAGGCTCAAAGATCTCAATTAATGCAAGTGCTTAAGTAGCACTTCCCCATACAGAGTAAGAAAATGCATCAGTACATCTGGAAAAGCAATGAAGCATCTGCTTGGAGCTGATCATATGCCAAGATACTTTTTACTGAAGTGTCTCTTCCCATACCTCAAATTTCTGAACTTCTAATCGCAACTTTTCAATGTTCTGTCCAAGCTCTGCTAATCTCTGGTCCACACTCGCTGCGTCTCCCATCTGTGGGTTCTTGATATACACATCTTTCATTTTCGTTAAGGCATCTCTGAGAGACAGAAGAAAAATAAAACATGTAAGGTTAGTGTGGCTGGGGGCAAATCTCTTTCTCTAAATGCAGGCAAATGAAAGAATAAACTGCCCGTTCTTTACTCTGCGGTTCCAGCCTAATCTGTTACAAAGGTAACTGAGAACTTCCAGACAGGGGCTTCTGCCCTGTTATTAAAAAAATAACAGTAAAATCACTTGTCAAAAGAGAATTCACACTGTCAAGGACAAAAAAAGTGACACCTTTACCTACAACGTGACATGACAGAGACATTGTGCACAAGCCAAACTCTTCAGACATTAGAGGCCAGGCTGGATGAGGCTTTGAGCAACCTGGTCTAGTGGAAGGTGTCCCTGCTGCTGGCAGGGGGGTTGGAACTGGATGATGTTTAAGGTCCCTTCCAACCTAAACCATTCTACGATTCTATGATTAGAGGGATGTCCTTGCTCTACAGGCAGCTGAGGGTTGTTCACGTGAGCGAAGCTGGCAGGAGGAGCCTCACTAGCAGATCGTGAGGCTACAGAGATGTGCTGCATCGGTACAAGCACACAACAGATTTAGCCCAAGCTCCACGTGCTCTGCTTGAAGAATCCCAGCAGAAAAACAACTGAACTCTTGGACAGTGGCCTTTTGCAAGGCAAAAGGAGGCATTTGGTATTGACTTTTAGCCTGACACACTCTTTTATTTAGTACTACAGTATCTACTTGCTAACCCTGGGGAAAATAATAATTAAAAAAATCCCTCTGCAACCATTGCAACAAATGACAGCTTCAACTTTCTAGATTAATATCATCCAAGTTTTTGGGGAACAGACAAACAGTTGCAACATTATTCTGCATCATGGGCTGAAATCCAGCTGGGGAATGGGGACAAAGAGCTGGACGTGGACATACTCATAATAAAAATGGAGTGCTAATCAGAAATTCTCACTCTGCCTGTTGCAGTTTGTCTTTTGCAACCCAAATAATTTGTAAGATATTTATTTCACACTTCTTAAAACGATGCTAAATCCAGATGGTTTGCATTTGTCACAGCACAGTGACAGATGGACCTTAGGCCACATAATGCGACCCCACATCCTGTTCAGTTCTACAGCATTTTTCCTAGACTGTGTTTTTTATCAACCCAGATGCCAAAGGCCTAGGGTTTCAGAGATGTTATCCTGCTATGATGAATGTGGGACTGTAAGGCCAAGACTAATGCAGTACATCCCTTCATGAGCTCCCCTAGGAAAGCCTGTGGAGCTCTCAATGACAGCAGTGCGCTGCCTTTGACCTCAGTCAAGTTGAGGCGGAACTTAAAGAAAAAAAAAAGTTATCTGCATGATGAACATTTAAGAGCTTAGAGAAGGGTGGACTTAAAAGCTGATTTCCTGTATTACTGGCACAGTTATTCAGCTTTTCTCTAGGCATTACTTGGGGGGAAGAAAGGTTAATGCGAGTCCCACGACTCAAGTTAACGCTCTTTATATTTTCGAGTTTCCCACCGAACTCTTGACAATTGCAATCCTGTGCCTGCCCTTGCTTTGTGTGCACAGAAAATGGGAGAAAAAGTGTGGGTGGTAAGGAAGTGGGACTGCTCTGTGGTTGAAGCCCTAAGGGACAATATTGCAAACATATGAGTCATGATTATTACTATTTTTTTTTAAACTCTTATTTAACTGCTGTTGTTAATCCCTCAGTCATATATTACAATTAAAATAACTTAATTTTGCTCTGATTTCACATACAATTTTAACATTGGGTTACCTCAGAATCAATACAGAGCAGAAAGGAAAATCTGCACAGAGACAAATGCTAAGTTACCACAGAGGGCAAAAAGCACAAAGCAATGGGAAATCATATAATCACATGCAGTTTTCCTTTCTTATTCATGATATAAAACATAAAGAAGAAAGTCTGGGTTACTAGACCAAATAAACATGTTCTTCAAAGCAAGTCTGCAGAAAATGTAGGCACATCTGTACAAATGTAAAGCAATATTTAGGGACAGACTAGTACCAGAGAGGCTAAGTTGTTAAATTATTCAGGGAAGAAAAGTTCTGTCTCTTGCAAACATAACATAATCAATCTTCAATGCAACTGCAGAATGTGAAGAAACACAAATCAACAAATACAGGCTGCCAGGATCAATAAAAAAATGTGTAACTAAAATAGCCTTATTCTCAACTAGAATGATGAATGCAGCTTTGTAGAAAAAGCATCCACAAAAGCACAGGAATCATTATCTTCTTGCTTCCAGGAAATGTAAGCTACAGATCAGAGAGCCTTAAGATACACACCAATCAATCGGCACTGTTGATGATGTTATCATGCTCCTAATAGCCTCTCTTGTTGGGATCTAGCCATGCCCATCATACAGTAATAGGCACTCTGCTTCATGCTGAGGGGTCTATGATTGTACCTCTGACTGAGGCTGCATTTACATCCTGTTCTTTCCTAAAAAAAAAACCACTCTCAGGAATGGCTCTATCAAGAAACAAACCTAGCATATCTAACTGCAATCCTTGTCTGGCTCACAATTAAACTGCTGCTCTCTCCCATGAAAGCCCAAGACAGAAGGAAAAATTGTCTCTAGTTGCTTCATTTATATAATTCCCATCCTTATCCTAGGATCTTCTCACAATTCCAAAAGCAGGAAAAGCATTACACTGAGGTGGGAGAATGGCAAAAAAAAGAAAGCCAGCTTTTGCCCCAGCTCTGACCTGCATCAGCCAAAATTAAATAACTGATTTCAGAATCCGAGTTGTGCAGAGCCTTGCATCTGCCAGGTGTTTTTAGCCATATGTATCCTTTGGTTCTTTTTTACTTTGAACAGTAACTTAAACAAACCTAGAACCTTGTCCTTATTTTCTCTTATATATTACTTCTATTTTATTAATAGAATTATATATTATTAATTATATATTACTTCTTCTCTTATATGAGACCACCTATTTCATTTTTCATTGGAGGGGGGTGACATACCTTTGATCCATCTCCTTCTGAATGTCCCTGTTTAATTCATCAACTTTTTGCTGAAGTTTCTTTCTTCTTTGCTCAGGTGGGAGATTGCTGAAGTCCTCTGGCCCTGCTCCCTGCACAGAGTGAAATGGAAGAAAAAAGAAGAAAAATCAGAACCTAAAAGAACCCTTCAGAATTGCATTTTGAAACCAGCTCACAAAAGCCTGTGCAAAATTACAATGGTCTGAAGCATTGTTATTATTTGTACTGAGAGTTATCTGTTGGCAATCTGGATGCCCTAGGAATAATCTCAGGATCACATCCCACTTTCATACCAAATGGCTAATGGGAGATCACCAGCTAAAGAATGTCAGAATTCAACGGCAAAGCACAGAAGCTATTTTTATCCATAATTACAATCAGATTTTATTTAACAGAGTTCCATTCTCATGCTGACTTTTCCTGCCCTCCCCTACTCTGCTACAAACAGCATCCTCATAAAAGCAGCAGTCTTTAGCTTTTACTCCTGTGTCACAGTCACACTTCTCATGTACTCTACTAATAGCTGGCTCGCTCTGCATTGGTCCAATACGGTTAATTTATGTCAGGAGACTCCTGAAAGCACTAAGGTAACAGAAGCTCTTCTTCTGGCATGCTGCAATTTCAAACCATGCTGCATACTTTCCAGGATCCGCATTCCATGTCCAAGTCTCTCAATTTTTCCTCTCTTGCTTGTTCTAGCATAAAAATCAGGAGTTCTATCAAAGCCACAGAATCAATCAATATGAAACCATAACAGAGGAAGACATTTGAAGACCACAGTGGTTACCTTTGTGTGATTCTGCTTGAAAACCCCTTTTCTGCCTTCAAACTGCTATGCTTCTTCTTGGTTGCCTCAATTTAATATAGCAGATAGATGACATATAAAATACATCCATACTATTTTCTTCAAAGTACCACCTATTTTTATCTTGTAGGAGGGGAAGGGGGACAGTTTGGTTGGGTTATACTGAACACACATCAATTATTAGTTGCATCATAAAGGAATGAGGTTCTTGTACATTATCTTGAATTTTTACAGGTTTTTTTGGTTTGGTTTCTGCTCATTCCACATCTGATTTCTAAGGGGGAATATTGGCCTATGGGAGAAAAGGTTAAAAACACAGAGCTGAGTAACCAAATTCAATAGCCCAGCAGCTTACTGAAAGCTTGTGAGCACAGCTGAAACATTAGTCTTACTAAAATGCCAGATCTCTCTGCCACAAAAGCTGCCCATTAGACCCTCTCAGCTCTGCACTGAATGTGCTCTGAGACAGTGTGCTCTTTCTTCTGCATTTGCAGAACAAGCTGTTTAGAAAGAAAGTGTGTGGGTGTTAGAGGGATGGAGGACAACTACAGACAGGTCATCTTCTCCTCTGGTCTAGCCATTTCAAAATAACAGAACAGCCAAACCTAATTAACTTGCTGCCATATTGATTTTCTGTAAAAAAATGCATCTAGTTAAGCCTTGATCATCTGTGTAATAATGCACTTAAAATTCTATTTTGTGAGACAATGAGAAAGCAAATTTAAGAAAAATGAAGGAACAACTAAGAAAATTACTCATTCTGAAACTTTAACTACATGAAATCACAGCAGTGCTTACATTATCTGCTGTACATGGTACAGGAGAGATCTATATTGATTCATTCTTTAATGACAATATTTTGCTTGATATTAACTCCCGTATCACATTAGACATGAAAGTAGTTCAATATATTTTACAGATAATTACACACTAAAGCCATACATAGCTTTTTAAGGCAAAGCATCTAGATGTAGCTTTGTAAATAAGCAAGCACTTACAGGAAAGACTATACAACATATTCTCAATTCTTAAGCAGAAGAGACAGATGCGCTTGAAAATATCCCCAGTTATACACTAGAAGAATGCGATACACGTCGTCAAACACATTTGGAAAAGCATCTTCTTTTCGATTATCAGCTTCACTCAAGAGCTCTAGGCTGGACTTAATTCAGTATCTTTGTTCACAATGCTTCAGACCAAAGCATTAGTGTCACATAGAAACGCATGCCTGAGACTAGGAGGTGATCTCACTCAGATCTTTATTCCATGCTCAATAATTTCCCATCGTAACAGAAGCTACAGTTCCTCTTCCAAAAGGAACAGTCAAGGAGCAATTTTTTCATGTGTTGGGCACATTTCATGCACTCAAGCAAAAACACACCTGGGCTATCTCTCAAGTAGTAAACACTGCCTACATTTTCCAGAAATGCTTCCACAGTGAGGTGAGGGGGAAAATCTGTGCTATTTTTGATGTACTGTCATAGGAGCAGCAGAGCCAGTGCTCACTAGATTTCCTTGCATAAAGATACTGGGATTTAGGATGCAAATTGTCCCAAGATTAAGGACTGTGAAAAAAAGAGCCTGTGTTAGGATCAGTTTTGGGCTGAAGCTACATATGGGGGAGAGCATAAGGTTTATCAGCCCTAGTTTTGTCTCTTGTACAGCTTGGATCCAAGATGAAGTTACAAACAAGCCGAATTCTTCCCCCGAGGCGCACACGGGTCTCAGCCCTCTCTGCACATCTTTCTGATTTGTGCCAATTCTGGGGGAAAGGCCATTTATTTTGGGAGGATTTAATCCTACACAACAGACTAGCACTGTGACTGGGAAAACAACAAATGGAAATCCCTGGTATAAATGCATGGGACTACCAGGCAAAAGAACAAGGTCTGCAAGCTACAGATTTCCATCATTCCTCAGGCCCACCACAGGTCTTCAGTGAGAAGCAATATTGCTAATGGAGCCCAAGTAAGTCACTGTGTTGACAGAGCAGCAGCAGGACCTGAAACCTCCAGAGCTGCAGCAGGACCTGAAACCTCCAGAGCTGCAGCAGGACCTGAAACCTCCAGAGCTGCAGCAGGACCTGAAACCTCCAGAGCTGCAGCAGGTAGCTTTCACAGACCATGCATTTCCTCTGAATAAGCTGCTAGGAATCAAACAGGTCCACAATGATGTATCCAAGAACACGTAAGCGCTGGGGAGGAAGAGCACCTAAAGGCACCGACTAGTGTGGAGTAAGAATGCCATTAAGGTGCTACTGCAGATCCTCCAAAGCTCTCCAAAACTGCAATCAGTCACTTGTGGCTCTTGCATGCTGGCATGAAGTGGGTCAGTCAGTCGCATTCTCCTTGTGACTGGGCTCACAAAGGGCAAAGGAATGTAGATAAGTTGTCAGGAACATATATCAAGGTGTGGAGTATCTCAAGCAGTACCGTACCTTGAGTGTGAAGATCAGCACATAATTTGCTTTCCCAAATATGTTCAGCCTTTCCCTTTCCAGCTCAGTAACTTATTATCTTACCATAGTTCAAGAAACCTTCCCAGCTGCATCCAAGATAGAATTGAGGATTCATATATATATATATATATTGAGGATTCATATATATATATACACACACATATATGTATCTCTATTTGCAAATTAATATCAGACTGAGTTAACCTTGTTGGTTAAGGTTTACAGAACTTTAATTAATGTCATTATTAGTTATTCTGAAGGACTACATAGGGCTGTAAAATGTAGGTGATGACAATGCAGTTTTCCAGTAATACCTGGACACGGAAAGCAAACTTTGCAGCTATGTTACACAAGACACATGCATTTCTCTCTGGAAAAGGTCCAGCAAGCACAGAGACTTTTTTTTTTCTTTAAATGTTTTAACATATACAGTAGCAGAATTACTCAATACTGTTTTTCTACATTTTCATAGCCCTAGATTATAAAAGTGAAAACTAAACTATATATTAGAGTTAATTTTTTAGCAGCTGATTAGAAAGACTGAATTCTGATCACCTCTATTAGACTCCAGACTTGTGTATTCAGAGTTATCTGATAAATATCAAAAAAAGCAAACACAAAGAAGAAATTATGTTAATTTCAGTGTCATGTCATATGCAGCACAGTGCACATTAAAACACACACAGAAAGCTGTGATTAAAACACAAGACAGACATGCTGTAAATGTGCTTACCAGCTTGAGAGAAAGCTTCATGTAAAAATTGGAGAGATATAGGGTGGGGGGAGAAAGAGAAAAAACAACAGTGCATCAGTAGGAGAGGAACTTTTTCAGACTGATGTTACAATAAAATGACACACAATCCCCTTGCTGTTGGAAGGCAAAATGGGTAACACTAACAGATCTGTGCAAAAGTTCACAAGATGGGCCAGCATCATCAGTCAGCTGCCATTTCCTCGCCAGAAGCAGAAATGGAAGAGAGTGTTGTACCTCTGCACACGTGCTTTAGCACTGCAGGTGAAAACCTGGCCTGGGTTGCCTTATTTACAGCAGCTACAACTACAGAGATTTTTTTGCATTACTGTAACACCTCTGAAGTGGAAAAACCTCAGAACTTGCAAATGCATGCAAGTCACTTCAGCTCAAAACTGAAATGCAGTCACAAGCACCAGCCCCTTTCTGCAAGGGCTTAAGAGAAGGGGGCTAACACCTGGGCAAGCCTCAGAGAATTGCTACGGTACTGCCCTTGGTCACCAGCTGCAATAAGTATGATGGGATCTCCAGCAAACTCCAGTGATTTCCTAGCTCTCAGGACCAAGTCCAAAGGACAACACCCCTGAAATATCCCTGTTGATTGCGTACAGTGCTGTCCGGGCAGTCACATAAAGTCACTTCGTGTTCTTGAATAACTCAAAAACAAAAACTCAGTCTCAAATGTACTTTGGCTTTACAGTCAGACAAGGTCAGGACCAAGGAAGAGAAAAAAACAGCAAAAATCTCTTCTCTTTACACCAAATTGATTCTATGACAGCATGGTAAGACATTATTCAAGCTCCTTAAATGACACACATGATCTAATTCTTCAAAGGTTACCACATTTCCTGGCACAGAGCCAAAACACTATCTTTTCGTTACACTGGGAAAGAAAGACTAAAAAGAAGTGTATGCTTGCAGAGCCTACACAGCAGCATGGTTTGCCTCTACATCACTTGCACATACAGCTCTCAACAGTGCTAGAAAGCCTCAGAAACTGCCAAGTGAACAAATGTGCCCGGGCAGCCGACCACCAAAATTACCTCTTCCAGTGTTGCAAGATGTTAAAACAGCTGCAATTCAGAAGGTTTTCCAAGAGATAGGGAGACTGACCATCACAAGTTAGCTGGCGTTCAAGATCTAAAGCCAAATCTTAAACAGAGAATCAAAACTCTACCCAGCCTCCTCCTCCAGCAACCTGCACTGTGCCTGTCGTACCAGCTCTTTGGGGGACAGTTGCGAAACGTCTCCTACTACATCACAAATGTGTCAGTGCATAAATGTGTGTGCTTGGTGTTAGAAGTCAAAGTTGGAAAACACTTCTCACTGCAGGCAATGATCTGTACTGGGAGACTTCTGAAGATCTTTCCATTCAAGAGTTCTCAGGTTTTTTCACTGCCAACAGCTCCCAGGTACAGTGCTCTCAAACAGATGCTCCATTTTTAGCAAAGGCATAGTTCTTTAGGAATGGATTTAAAGAAATATAATTTTTTCAAAAATAACAATTATCATTAGTTACCAGAATTTCTACAGTTATCCACGCCAACCACTCAAGGAAATGACCTTGAAATAAGTAACAAAATATTCCATTTGAACTGATGCATTCAGTGACAATGCAGCAATTAAACTTCCCTCTGAAGTTCAGTCCATTAGGAAGTAAACACATGATAATAATCACAGTGTAATGAAGAAATCCATTCTCAGCTACAAGGTCATTAAAAAAAGCAAACAAAACCAATCCATTTGAGAGAATAATCGTACAGGAAATAGAAAGAATGAGCTAAAATACGGCGCTGAAGAAACTCAGCGTAGGCAGCTTTTGCTTGCAGAACTGCTTTAGCATTCCTGTGAACTTTAGCATAGACATGATCAGCACAAACTGAGATCCTTGTACGTATATACAGACAAGACTCATGGTGCAGAATAAATATTTACCTATGAAGCACTCTATAAAAGGCACAAATGTATGCTACATGCGCTAGTTTCTAAACACTACTCACTCTAAAGGCACTATACTACTGCAAACAGTCATCTGCATCAAGACTATTCTTTTGCTGTAAATCCAGCAAATTTGAAAGGGATTATAGACACTGGATGCCAAATTCTTAGGCTGTTAAGTATGACAAAAATAGAGAACTTATTAATAGCATTTCCAAATAGTACATCAGGGATTGTTATAACCAGTACAAATAACAAAGCAGATCATAGAGTGGAAACAATGAAATGCTGAAATAAGTCATATTCACAGTTTTCCATTTCTGAAACGTATTCATAAATTTACATTACAGCAATTCAGTTTCTATAAACAAACATAAGCAGACTGAAAATAAATCTGCATTAAATACTAAATAACTACTTTTGCCCATTCTCTTGGGTTTTCACAGCTAGAAACTTGCTCACAGCTCCTGGTAGTACAGGGGTATTTTTTCCCCCCAGATAATAGAATAAATTACATGAGCAAATCTGTTTCAAACTGCCAATTTAAAACAAGTCTAGCTTAGTCTTGCAGGGAAAAAAAAATGAAGAGCCTAAGAGCCACAAGCTTCAATAACACATGAGAGAGCATGAAAGCCAGCAAGTCCATGTGTTATTGGACAGTCACGGACACTAACCTCACTTACAGAAAACTGGATTGAAATAAATCACTGGACTGCCATACAACCAAGAGATAATTTTGTTTCTTCGTGGTCCTGTAATAATGTTCCCATACTCTGCTTTATTCGGGTATCAGATTTAGAGGTCATATATCTTGATTCCATGAACTATCATCAATACAGAGAGTTCAGGGAAGCTTCAGAAAGCTCTGGGGAGTGCTCCACGACCGAAGCACAGAACACATCACTGCGCTGCTGTAAATCAGGGGTTGGCTCATGATGCTCAAGACTGCATTCATAAAATAATTTAGAATAAACGCACGGAACCTGTTTGTAGTACTTACTCTGAATTTCACAGGTCCAGCCACTTTAATTGTGCCAATTTCAGCATTTCCAGGACTAGCAGACATACCTTTCCTGCACATAACACAGTAAGCTGCAACTTGCCTTTCTGCCAAATTTTCCTTTTATCTTTTACAAAGCACATTTCCACAGCACACTTCGATGGCGTTGTAAGTGGGGTTAGCGACTGTGTAGCAACGGTATGGGCTGATCACACCATACACGGACTTACAACATATTCCCTAGCCTCAATGGCACACGTGGGTGTCCCTAAAGTCCTCTTCATGAGTTCTTTGTGAATATACAAAGACTGTGTCTGCTGGTGAGTCAGCAAGAGAAAACACATCCGTTATACTGGAGACAAGCACAGCACCTCTGTGTTTACTGCTTCTACAGCAAAAGACAGCTTGGCATTTAACTAGGCTTTAAGTGCAAAGTGGAAGCTTCCTAGAAACTAGGTGAATATTAAGAGTTTAACATACTCAGAAAAATCAGAAAATGCCATATTTTTAAATGCTAGCTTAAACACACAAGGTTAGAAAACATGACTCTGAGCTAGAATAAACCATGGCTTTAATAACCCCACCCAACAAAAAATCCTGGTCTTGGCACAGATTTATACACTTACATTAGAAGAACACGTATTCCCAGGGGCAGGGAACAGAGCAGGTACAAGAGGGGGTGGTTTTGTTTTGTTTGCTGTTTCTGCATACTCACAGAACACCAAAGTACTGATCACCCAGACAGACCAACAGCTAAGTGTCAAGGGAGAAGACTGCATAGTATGTGACAGAGGCAAGACGGGATGGTGAAGGAAAACATTAACTGGCGCAATGGAAATAAAATCACATTGTAATGAAGTCAACAACTTCCACTAAAAAGGAAACCACAAAAGTCCCTCCATGTGCCTCATGGAACCATCTGGAGGGTGGAACTTGGGTAAGGACAGTAATATCTGTGTCCCAGCTCCCAAACCCATCCTCTCTGCTTAATCCCAACCCAGTCAGCGAGGCGAGGGGAAAGGCAAGCCTGCACAACACAGGAATTCAAGGGTGTAAGTTCTACCCCTGGATTTTGTTAGTTCAGAAGTACTGCTCTTTAAATAAAGGTGCTGATGTTACTGCCACTATAGCAATAAAACAAAAGAACACAAAATTAATATCAACTAGCAGAATACTGAGTCTTCTTTGTCCTCAAAATGGAATTAGAAAGAGCAGAGCAAGCACAAATGAAATTATGACTTATGTAAGCAGTTCCTCATTTTTTGTACTCTTTTGACTTTAACTTCCCAAAAGAGACAAAGTTGATTTTAAGTGTCATACTACTTTAATACTGCCTTTTAAAAGAATTTTTAGAAACAGGCCTCAAAAACTGTGTAAAAGACTTTTCCCCCCTCCTCTTCTAGTTCTGATCCATGACAAGTGCTCTAACAGTTTTACAGTATTTTCTACAATGGACATTTCCGCTGTTGGGGTTGTAAGAAAGCAGCTTTGAGGAAAATACAAAAATGTGATTAGAAAACCATAGACACTGACAAGAGTCAGCACTTTATTTTCTTTATTATTTTTTTTTTTTAAACAGACTAGGATTTCATATTGGCAGTGACCACCGATACTGGTATTGGCACCTCTACATTAATTTTGCATCTGTTCTAAATTGTTCAGGCATCTGCTTCCTTCCATGAAAACACGATTCATTGGATTTTTGGTTTGAAAGCAAAATTAAAACCAGATTGAGCACAGGACATATAATTACTAATTATATAATTCATTTTAACAGTCACCAGTGATTTTTCTGCTTTAGTTTCCTAACTTCTCTTTCCAAATGCAACATAAGATACTAAATCAAAACTTTATAAGGAAATTACTAAAACATACTGCCTCTCCAGACACATTCTGGTATCAAAGATTTAACAGAGGAATTGTATGGGAATCCATTCACTCACTTATGTTTCAAGGATCAGTTGTAATGTGTAGTTCTGTTGCTGGTATTTTAAGATCTCAATATCTACTGGACTTGCTCACATGAAGTAGTTCCTTTTCATGCACTCCTTCCTTAAGCCAGTGTGAAAAAGGAATATGATCCAGTTTCCTCTGAAACCAACTGTTACCCTGGCTTTTGTAGGAGTTAGCAGCTCAGCTTATCAACAAAGCCAGGAAGGACCTGCTTGACAATTTTGTTGAATACTCTAAAATAATACTTCAAAATCCCTTGTGGCCACCTTTGCTGCAAGGTGTCTGGCTGGAGTGGAATTCTGCCTCTGAACAAAACCAGCAGTGCGGAGACAATATTCAGAGCAAATCAAATCATTCAGTGTCCAAAGCTGAACACCCATTACATTGCCTGGCTCCCTGCACAACCTTTCCAAAAGTTCCTTCACTGATGCACGTCTGTACAGACCAAATGTTCTTCTGTGTAGAGGACAGTTTCCCCTCTACGTCCTCCTAATTTCTTTAGTAACACCACAATCCAGTATTCGTAACAATACTGCTCATGCTCCTGAGCAAAATTCAGATGCTTTTGGATTTGGCAGGGGGATGGAGAAAAGGAAATCTTATAAAACTTCATATTAACAGTATTATCTGGCGGTACTGAATCTAAAGTGGGTCATATCAACCACATCAGCTGAAACAAATGCCAACCACTCACTTTTCATTTGATAAATTACCAGGATTTGGAGGTAATTCTCAATTTCTTTTTTGCCTGGTTAGAATTATTTTATTTTTGAAGGCCATACGCATTTTCATGATCTTTTAGTCTGAACATTTGTATAACAAATCATCCAAGGACCTACAAAATGTGAACTTGACAAGTGTTCAAATCAGACAAGAGCAAGCTGCCAGAGCTTTGCAGCCTCTCCTACTCCATATTTCTAATGAACCAAGTGGCCTGAATTAGTCCCTGTGGAAAAAGAGACTATGATCTGAACACTGGCCTCCAACTCTGGGATGAGTCAGGCAGGAAAAGTATTTACACACAAACATCCTGGTAGCTAACAGGGGAAGGAAATTAAATAGAAAAAGAACATAGTGAAAGGCTTAAATGTAAGATTTAGCAATGGATTTCCTTGCACATTTTTAATGAATGTGTCAGCAGAAGTTTGAGGGATTCCAGAAAAGACTATAGAAAATTGTTCTCATTATTTTACCTTTCACACAAACCTATTAAAACCAATACAGTACACAGGATTCTTAAGATGTGTTTGGTCTTCTCAGATAGTTAATACATAAAATAATGGCATTTTTTCAGAACTATTAAAAGCAATTAGTCATAATTGCTTATACAGCCAAATACTCACTAAATAAGAATTTCTACATTTGAAATACAAACTTCTGAAGTGCTCATGGAACTACAAACTAGTATTTTTAAATCAAGTTGGAAATATTCAGCACTATTTTCAATATTCTGTTCCATGAATAGCACTATTGGAACACTAGATCACAACACAAACCCTCACCTTCAGCAGTTCCTTACTCTCCAAAAGTGTCCCAGTGCTAACCCAGAGACAGCAGACTGCCAGATGCCCACGTGTTGCAGCAGATGCCACCAAGACAGCCACCACCTAGCATGTCCCCAAGGTTTGCTGCTGCAGAAGCAGAACTGAAAGAATGTTTCCTCCCATAAAAGCCACTGAGAAAAGATGCTCTGAGCCAAAGTGCAACTGAGGGAAGGAGGTACATTTACAAAATCTGCCTTTGGACAACTTAGAAACTTCCCACTTCCCCTGTGAAAAGCACCAGAAATGAGATTTTTTGGGGTTCTGAATGTCCCATTAAATGGCAATTCCCTAACAAAGAACTGAAAACCACTCTGTAGAAAACTTTTTTTTTTAAATGGACTGTCTGCAACCAGATGAAACGAAATATTGTTTACAGCACTGTTCCCAATTCTCTGTAACTAATGACTGAAGTTCCCCACTGAAATCATCCCTACTTTTATACAACTCCAGCCCTAAATGTCAGTGTAGTCCCTGGAGCAGAATTAGGGCTTTTTAAAGTAGTCACTTCCTTGTTGTTACAGCCTCCTCTAAAAACATTTTAAAATACTGAGCACTTGTGTCTCCTTCCTGTAATTTTTATACGAGGAAATTATTCTAAGGACCTTAACCTAGGAGGCCAAAGCCATGCTATGCCAGCAACTTCTCAGCACAACTGTGCCACATGCGAGCTTCCGGGAAGATAAAGTCATCTTTGTGTTTGAAAAATGGAAAATTTTATCTCAGGGACCTGTCATTTTATTTACTGCTTATGAAGACCACCAATGAGAGCACTTAATTCAACACAAACACTTCAACATCAGTTTACCAATATAGCCACAGCTGCTGTCAAGGACAAGAACAGAGCAGTTGACCTGGGAAAACTCAGGCCATGCTTCCTACTCTCTCAGCAGCAAAGGAGACAGGGACACTGAACTTCTAACAGTGCTGATGTGTCACAAAATGTTGATCCAATTTGATGTAGACCCACGTGAATGCCCAAGGTCAGCCACAGAGGCTTTCAGCTTCTCTGTACAATGCAGAAACCAGCATCTAACACGCTGCAGCTGCTGGCAGGAGCAAAACCCAAACCCTCATCCCGTAAAACATCTCATCTATGTTTTGGAGCTCACATGCTAGACTGATAAAGCTTTTGCAAACAGAATATCATTTTAATCTGTGTGCAACATAGCACTGGGAAGTGAAAGTCAGTTCAGAAACCGACAAGATCTGTGGACTTAATGGGAAATGCCCAGAAAATGCCCAGATTCTGCATGCCAGTATGTAGGGAAGGCTGCAAGGACAAGTCAAATATGGAACTTGAATTTTTTTTCCCTAGCTTTGCAATGGTTCCTCACATAATGTTTATCAAACTCTTAGTTAATGTCTTTCCTCTAGAATTTGCAAGAATGGCAGCTATTAGCAGCCGCTACAAATAGTTTTTCAACTTGATATTTTTGCAAAGATGTTTCATTGACATTTCAAGTGTCAAGAGTAAAAACTGGGGAAAACACATTTAAAAACTAATTGGAAAAAAATGTTAGAGTGTGGCAGGGTTTTAAATTCTTCTATGGACACTTTAAAAGCTGTTTAAACCACATCATCTGATCAAGGAGGCCCGAAAACAGACATGATAAATTTGTAGAGAGCCCAAGAAATCCTGCTTCCCAGCAAGCTTATCATGGATGTTTTTGGGCCTCATCACATCATCTGATCAAGGAGGCCCAAAAACATCCATGATAAGCTTGTTGGGAAGCAGGATTTCTTGGGCTCTCTACAGGAGTGAAATCAAACCTTTCTATTTCATGGAAACTTCATGGTACAGGATGTGGTTAAGGTCTTTGAGAAGTATGAGCTCCAAATATTTAGAGCCAACTGTAATCAACACATCTAGGTAGCTACAGGGAACATTAAATTCGGTGTCTTCCCCCAGTCTCCACCAACATGGCAGCCCAGATTTAAAGCACACCTGTACCATATCAACAACTTTCTTACCACCTAGAATCAGTTCATCTTTCATATCTCACCTGTGTTTTTATCTTAAGACTGAGACTTACAAAGCAAGCTAAGTTCATAGCACTTGAAGCACAAGCTGAGGAAGTCTCTAGAACAGAAGTCACACACAGGTGTACGTGGCCACAAAATACAGGGAAATCATCTTCCCATGTCTACAGCAAGAGGCGTCAGATCTCTTCAGAAAAACGTCTGAATTTGCTTCAACTGAGGTCAGAAGAATTATTTTCTAGAATCCCTCCTAATTTACTCTCCTTCTGACACTGATAGTGAGCTGAATCCACCCTGCAGAGAGGAAAACGTTCCACATTAAGGTAGACAACATGCAGGATCAGAGTAAACCTCTGAACGGTGCTCCTCCAAACTTACTCTGCCTCAGACATACACAGGGCTACTAAATTAATGGCTTTGACTTCTACATGACTTCTACATTACTTAATGTCCAGCTCCCCAAAAAACCCAAATGAGTAATTTCCATCAGCAACTGTAGTTTTTGTGGTTTCATTGTGGGGTTTTTGACTACAAATGGCTTTATAGGTTGGGATTCCTTGGATTTGTCTGCATGTTATGATAAAACACAATGGATTCATTCACAAAACAAAACAAGTTTCTACATAACAGAACGTGCAATAAAAGCGCAAGAAAGAAAGAAAAGAGAAAGAGAAAGAGAGAGGTATCCAGAGGAGAACTTACCCCGCGCTTTAGGCTCCTGAAGCAGTGGATTTTGGGTTTGGAGGTCATGAACTCGTTGAAGCGATGGGAGAGGGGTTCCTTTTGCTGCTTGGGAGACTGGGGGCCGTTGGGAACAGCAGAGGGTGAGGCAGAGGCAGGGGGAGGAGGAGGGGGCTGATGGGGGGATGTTAAAAGGGACATAAGCTACGTATAAGAGATGGAGAAGTGACAGAATAAAAACCAAAATAAAAAGATAAAACACAAAACGAAAATAAGCATCAAAACCAATATTTGAAATTCAGAGAAAAAAAAACAATTAAATAATTAAATATTAAAGGCCATGGTTCAAAAGAGGGGGGACAGCATTATTTAAGAGTTGTGTTAAATGAAGAATGTGATAAATGGAAGTTTTAGTAAGTGATGCAACAGAAGAGTAACACAAAGTATTCTGACAGGAGGCTCATGCAGACTCTTCCATGCAGTGCTATCCCCATAAATTGCCCTGTTCTCACTCTGTGGACAGCTCAGAATAATGCATATGGATAGAGCTTTCAAATACCTGAATTTAAATGGATCAGATAAAGGAAGGTACCTTAGTGCCCAGTAGAGTTTCTATTATCTGGAAAACAATAAACCACATTCCTTCCTGCTTTCAAATCATACCTCAGTAATGTGCATCACACTTTACTCTTACAAATTATTCTGTGAATTTGCTCAGGAGTTAGCCCTGTGTTTTTTGTTTGGTTGGTTTTTTTTCTGGCTACACTGATGTAAGCACCAGACAGCCTGTTCTCTCATATACCAGCACAACAGGAATGATCCATTCTGAACAGGTAGATTTTTTTGACTCTATAATTAGAAGAAGTGGTTTGGTATGGGTCAGAGCAAGGGCAAGATCAAAACAACGAAGCTACTCTGGGCTTCCATCAGTGTTACTGAAAACCAATTTAGTCCAGTCACCCTGACATGTTCTGGTAACCCCAGATAAATGCTGTCATGCATTATGGTGTAAAATATGACAGTGGAATGTAAAGGTTTAATGGATACATAAGTTAATATGGTCTTTTTAAAAAAGTCAACTGCTCAGTTAGTTATGCTCCATTAGTTGTGCTTAAGAACAAATCTCAGCAATTCCTTGTTCCCAGCCACCCAACTGCTGACCCCAGTGCACAGACTGAAAAGATAACACGAATGAAAAGCCAAGGAGAGTTTTAGAAGTGTCAAAACAGTAATGCCACATTAAAGCTTCCCAAAAGTGACAATGTTAGTTAGCACACATGGCACTAGGTAAGTGGTATATAATTCCTTCTCTGAGTTAGGAACAGAAATGGACCATGGCAGAGACATGACAACTATAGTTAAATTAATACAAAAACTGCAACATAATTAAATTAATTATAGAAGAGAAAAAAATAAAGATATAAAGAAACTTAAGTAACCAAAAACTACAACAAAACACCATATTAAGATATCTGTTATTAAGCTTCTGAATCTCAAATACTCTTTAAAAAAATTGTACTTGTCAGGATTACTAGACAAGACAGAGGTTATTGATTATACACACACTAGCAGCAAGCTTAAGTTTGCAAGTCAGTACCTTATTTTTCTTGATGAACGGCCATAACTTGCCCTTGGATTTTCCACCAAACTTCGGCTCAGACTTCCCATCCCCTCTGGAGTTGGACAGGCTGGATTCTGAGACAGTCCGCTTCATTGGCTGCGTGAAGTCCTCAAAGTCGATATCTCCTGGAGGCTCAAACCCCGATTTAAAGGCTTCTATTACCAGCTGTGAATCCTGAAATGGGACAGATTCAGTACAAGTGTAAACATCTTAGATGAAGGCTGTCATCAAATTGGTCGCATAGAAGAACAGTACAAGGACAAGGGAGTTGGTCTGTGTGGGAACCAATTCTTACAGTGACCAGTGTCATCCCTGGGAATGAAGCCCCTGACAGAGCCCAGGATCAAGACAAGATCAGGGCACTTTTCTTGAACCTATTTTCACTACGATGATTTACTTTAAAAAAACCACTACCTAGGCACAGCATAGTATCCTAGCAAAACAGGGCACTCTCATGTGCAAAATTTAACACACTCAGATATTAAAGTGACAAACGCAGTTAAGAACACAACCACCACCCCACACAGAACAAAAGTTTCCAACCTATGTCAGCCAGAATGTATTACAGCTGGGAACATAAATGGCTACAATCTCAGCTTCATAACAGATCTCTAAATAAACAACCAATTATGGAAATAAAGCAGGTGAGCTTTAGTCTCAAACAGTGCATTATTCCTGTCATGAAACTCTAGCCCATTTCACAACCATGTCTGAGACCAGCCATTACCCAAAATACCAACAGATAAAAGCAGAGGACTATGGTCTATTTAGGAAAATAAAAAATAGATAACTATCATTGAAACACAGGTCACTGTAGTTAACCAGTGATGATGCTTAGGAAGAGTAAACTCAGGTCTTCCCACTCCAGCCTTCCACTCAGCTGCACAACCCCTCAGTCTGACCACAGCCAAGCAGTGTTTCCATTCCCTTTCGTTTCCACCACAAAAATCAAGTTTCTGATACAAACATGCATGTAGCTTTTCCTTTTTTCCTCTTAATTTTACAGAGCTCCTTCCATTTGGCCAAAACATCCTCCCACTACAAAGGAGCTAAAAATAACCAACATGCTCCATATATCACAGAGATAGTGTCATAACAGGAACTCCAGAGTCCATAATAAATTAATTTTATCTGCTGCTAGAGCCTTCTGAAGCAAGTTCTGTGTAGGTTCACCCAGCAGTCACTACAGCTTACCCTTGCAACATGACCTCTGAGTTGTTAGAAAGAGAACATGAAAAAGAAGCCTATTTACAATGGCATCAGAAACACAGGGACAACCAGTACTCCCAGATAAATCCAGACAGTTTCTATTGCTCTTAGCAGGGATTCTGTGCACTTTAGTGAGGGCAGAAAGCAATCCAATTTACACAGTAGCAAATTTGGAAACTAAGCCTGACAGACTGGCCATTTTGTAGGTGGGCATGAGGCACAACTTTAATATCCAGAAAGTATTAAGTCTGTCCCATATGTCATTCTACTTCTTAACACTATCCAACGAAATCGGGACCCTGGAAGAAAAGTGATCTTGCAGAATCCTGCTAGCATCCACAGAGGGAGGGAACATGGAGCTGGCTGTGGAAAGGAAGCCTATCAGCAGTCTGCAGTTCCACAGTTTCAAAGTCACTGCAGAAATACATCCTTCCTTACTACTGTACTACACAATTCTGATGCTAGAAATCAGAGCTACCATAGAAACCCCACCTTCACAGACCAGTATTTGTAATAAAACTACACCCGAAGTTGATTATCCAAAAACTCTGGAGATACCTACATGAAAGGCAAAGTTCTGCTGCTTTTATTCTGTTTTTCCTTTTTAAACTGTAATGTTTTGCTGTCAGCTGGTAATATTTTACTGACAGCAAAAAAAAAAAGCTGCAGAACTTGCAAGTTCTTAACATCCTTTCAGGTAGAGATGACACTGGTTTGGTTCACAAGGTAAATTACTAGAACTGATGTTTTCTCCATTTTTTTTTCCTTCTTTCTAATACATCATCTGTATCAGTTGTGGTTGTTCCATTTAAAGGGCTGGTTCCTGAACTGAAGTTGCTACACAGAGCAAAGCTTTCATTTAATCTCTCCCCTTCTTCAGTAACTCTGTGTGTCACAGCTGGGTAGAAAAAGTGAAAATAAAGCCAAAGGATACAAAGAGCTAAACAAGAACTCCAAATGCATCACTGCGTTTTGTCAGTGTCATAGTGTCTGACCTTATACATTTCAGATTTGGTCATACTGTATGTTTGTTTATGATTACCAGATCCTGGAGATCTCCTCCCAGCTGGGAAACACATGTCTGTGTGGGCCCAGAGTCTCACACAAAGCTTTTCCTGCTCAGCAGGCTCTTGGTTTTGCTCACCATTGTACTAGCTGTATTATCACCAGCTGTCCTTGCATTCAGCTTTCCTGGAACCTGACCTCCTTTTCAAAGTTGATTACAGCACACATGTAGTTGACTTTCCTATCCAAAGTTTTTCAAGCTTGAAAAAGATGAGTAATGGAGATAACCTTCAATTTGAATCTTTCAAGGAAAAGGAGAAACTCTGCTGAGGGTAGTGTAAGAAAGTCCTAACTTGCTTCTTAGAATGTGAAGGGGCGAGATGGGAAAGGTCTGCTGCAACACTGTGTTAGTGGCAAAAGCAGTTCCTTAGCTGGAAACAGAGAAAATACAGCTTTTAAATTGCTACTGAGTGCACCTATGGCCATCCTTATGAAGTGGGAGGACCTGCATGCTACAGAAGGGCAGGAATAAGCATTAACTTTCATGAGAATCAAGGAAGTTAAAAACTACTGTTCCAGAGATGAAAAAAAATCTTTGATGATATTTAAGAAAAAAGAACCGTTTAAGGACAATAACTGTTTACCAGCTAGAACATGCTGAACCCTTTGTGACTGTTCAGATACAAATCTGGTTAAAAACATTTTTGTTAGCACAGTGTTTACAGTAGATGCCTTAGTTATCCATCCTCACAGACATCATTTTCTAATCTCATACTTGTGCACGAGACAATCAGACTTATCTGTGCACAAGAGAGACTAACTTGAACGTAAAATTCGTGGTGCAAACACCTAGCTTAAGCCTTGTGTGTGCTTTGTTAAGACTTCACTTGAAAATTCAAGCAGAGTGTAGACTTAGATAAAAATCTCCCCAACATGATTTCACCATGCAGCACCAAAGTTGTGCCTCTTGAGGGCATGTTGTTCTAACATGGGAATCTGTTCCCCAACTCCCTCTTCTCCCAACTTGAAAGAGTAATCTTCAGATTCCTTGGTTTCCTATGCTGCTTTCTGTGAGAGTAATTGCCAAGCAGAAAGTAGTGGATTCATTTAAAGCCTTCAGCCTCAGGCTTATACTGCCAGTTAATGGCAGTCTCCAGGCTCTGGGCACTGAACAGCTCAGAAAAGATTCCAGTGCAAAAGACGTCTGGGAAATTCAAACAGCCAGCAAGACACATGCTGTTTGTATTTGAAGCACTAATGTGATCCATGAGAAGGGCTGAAAGAGCAAGCAGAGACTTCATTTATAAAGGGAGCAGATCATTCTGAAAACAAAATAGAAAACACATTTGCCCTTGTGCTAACGGTACAACAGGAAGCTCAAGTGAACTCTATCAGCCTTTTTATCAGGAAGGTTTCATTTTACTCCTACAGTGATGTTCAGAAATCAAGATTTGTGAGAGCTCACTTACAGATTGCTAGCAAATCCCCAAAGAAAGATTATACAGCGAAGTACAAATTTCGACAGTTTGTTGCAATAACTGATGCAGCCAATACTTTAAATATTTCCATTATTATAAAACTAACTGAAATGAAGACATTTCTGCAACATTCAGTTTTCTTAATATTAGAAGAATATTAGTAGAAGCCATTTGAATAAGAACTGGTGATTATTAGGTACCTGGAATTATGCCCACCATCTTCTTTATTCTACACAAAAAAACTATTTTTTTTTTTTTTAATTATAGTATTTTAAAAAGTAACTATTCTAGTAAAAGGAGAGAATATTCCTAAAAGGAGAAAAATTTGAAAAATAAAAAGTATGTCACTAGAGGCATTTCTGGGTGTGAAATAGATTTGGGAAATAATCTGAGCACATCCTGCCTCAGACAAAAGTAGCCTGGGACAAATAGTTATTCTTTGTTTTAGTTCTATGACTATACAGGTCTTGTGCTGCAGCCTGGACCAAGGATTTACATCTCCATACATAAGTGATCAATGCTAAAGATGACAAACAACAATCCAAACAATGCAACACTTACATTCTTGTGATCAATTGATTCTGCAGCCTTTGTTATTTCATCCAGACACTTTCCAATGATAGGGATGACTTGGCGGTCGACCTCTGCAAAAGTTTTCATGGATTCACCTATCCTTACGATTCTTCTTTCTTCCATCTCTTGTATTTTCTAAAACATTACATTTCATTCAGATCAAATATCAATATTAACTTCCCATTTTCAACCAATTTTTCTCCCCAGAGTAAATCAGTTGCTTTAAAATTTATGGCTTAAATATATTTTTAAGAACAAACTAGGACAGCTGTTCTCATGAAAGCACCAAGTGATATAATCCCCTCAAATATCAAAATGTCATTCTAAAAGTAATCTCTGTTACTATTACTGGGAATTTTTCTATTAACTTTTTATGTTAAAAAGTGATGATTTGCCAAAATCCCAGCTTTAGACTTTCGTAAGGATGGCTCCTAAGGCCTTTAAAGAGAACTTCTGCAACAATAAATTATTTCATTTTCTGCACATGTTCAAAAAGATCTTATTTTCAATTCCACTGCAGAATCCAAGCAAACAAAAATGTTGATGTCTCCCCTCCTCCTTTTCCCTAGGAGGTAAATTTTTGTTTACAGGCTTATACATCACGTATTGCTCACATCAGGGTTTCTCAGTGCGTGGTCCCTCCCTGTTGGCTCAATAGATTTGAGTGCCACGATCTCCAGCATCTATTCCATGACCCTCTCATTTACAACAGAGGGAAAGTGGACCTGGCGAGTGCCACGATCTCCAGCATCTATTCCACGACCCTCATTTACAACAGAGGGAAAGTGGACCTGGCCTAACGTAATTACAACAGACTATAACAGGATACAGAAGGGCATGAACAGGAATGGCCTGTTTCATATTAGACTGCAGGAATCTTAGGGAGTACTGCCAACTTAAAAACCTCCACAAGCAACAAATTATTTACAAAACAACTTATTTCAGTATCTAAAGAAGTGGTGAAATGACACATCTGCAGTACTTTAAGCATGCTCACCTACAAATCAGAGAACTTACTAGATCTAGCGCTAAATATAAATATATTGCAAAAAATTTTTATCTGATGCCAGGGATAATTTATCTCAAGAGACTGGTTTGAAAAACCAATGAAGCAAAAGAGAAGATGTCCATTTACCCAAGAAGTTCTAGCTATGGATAAGAAAATGCGTATTTGCTCTGCAAATATCAGTTATTTCTCATCAGATGATGAGCATGTGACATTTTCTCCGTTAAAGAGGTTCTATTTTCCACTTCTGATGCTTATGACCCATTACAATGGAACAGTCATTTAGAACTTCTGTTCATTAACCTCTTTGTTCAGTCAAGCACAAACTCAGAACTTCAGTCAGTATAAGTCTGATGGCTTTTTTTTTTTCTTCTTTCTTTCTCCACAGTCTTTCTTTAGGCACCTGAAGACTTATCAGCAAGTTTACTTAAACCCTCTGACATTCACTGCTGTAGAATTATTGTATATTAAATTTAAACATCTATCAAGTCTGATTTGAAGACAGGTTATAAAGGGCTGTGAGACTTTACAGATGTAATGATGTCCAGCTGACTCCTGCTCCAACAATGCAAATAATGCTCTCATTCCCCAGCTGCATGGACACAAGAGTTTAACAGAGCAAGACTGTGAGGATTCCAGACTATTGTAATCTGTCATGACAATTCAATGTCACCTTCCTCATATATAATTGATCACTTGATATCTAGTCTAAGAGAAAGGGACAGTTTATCCTACCAAACTCTCCAACTCTTGGGTTGGCAGACTGCAGATAAAATTTGCTAACGGCAACAAAAGTCACCAAAAAGTAAAGGACAGGATCACAGAACCAAGGTGATGTGCAATACGTCCCTCTGTTCTTATCACAAGATTATGAGCTACCTAGATCAGTGCCAGTGACCCTCACCTGGAAGATGTTTGGCATGTGTGTGTAGTAATGATCATGCTGTTCACTGTTGAACTTCTGTAGAGTGGAAGAATATTCTGCTTTGCTGTCTTCTGCCATTTGATGTCGCAGCTGGGCTTGCTGTCTTGCCTAAAGAAATGCCAAAAGAAATTTATAAATTACACTACATGGAAAGAAACTGTGTTGTGTTACTCCTCATCTCACTATCCTTACCAGTAGGCAGCACAGGAACTCTGAACACTTCAGCTTTTTGGTTTACTCCTATTTTGTGAAGCAGTGAATCTATCTCAAGCATAAGCTGGCAGTGTGCACACTGCTGCTGCTCTTGTGTTACAACACGCTATTTCCATCAACCATTTTGCATTCCGTGAACAACCTCTGTTCATATTGCATGTACAACGCCAAAACAAGTTTGCCCCTCTACTAGCCCACTTAACAGGCATGTTTTATGGACACTCTTCTTGATCCACCATACACCCTGTTGGATGGCACCTGCTTTTCTCTAATGAATCCGTTGGCTAGCAGCATTTTCGTGGGAAAGGGAAGTGACAAAAAAACCCAACACAATTTTGTCACATTTCACATACCTTGGCCAACATAATCATGACAAAACATCTCAACTCATGCTCCCACCGTGCTCCTTTATCTACATTTCCTTGAACAGCACTGGCTTGAAGTGCACAAGGAAAGAGGAGCCTGAGTAGCAGCTGAGACATGATTCCCTTCCTATTTTTACCCACACAGATGATTTGCATTGCTACCCAGCATAGCAGAGCACTGGGCAATTAACTCACTTCTTTAAAACTGTCCCCGAGTGACCCTTTTATATTTGCAAAACCTCCCCTTACAATTCTGCTTCCCAAGGCCTTCTGTTATCCGTTTCACTGCCCAATATTATTCCCTTACTGCCTATCCCATCTGTTTATTTTAGTTGCCTTTTCCTTCCTGGCTGTTGGCCTTTCATACAGCAGCTCTGCCTTCCCTTCCTACCCAGCTCCCTGCACCCATCTGCCTTTGCTCCCTGCCCTGCATCCCCTCTCTCCCACTTTGCCATCACTGGAGTGGAGCTCTGCTGCTCACCCTGCTCCCACACAGCCCCACTCCACCCTGCCCACTCCCACCTGCCCCAGCAGAGCCTGCTCCATAGCTGTGGACCAAATATTTGCTCCAGTGAGAGCTCCGTCACTGATCATCATGAGCCTAGGACTTGGCTCTGTAAATCTAAACTATCCTGAGTTTGCACTCATTTTTCATGCACTCAGAGCCTCCTCACCCTCCACTGCCTACCAAGCCCTGGAAAAGTGCCATAAGTACCCAGAAAGTGTTATGTACCAATCACTCCCTCAATTTCAGAATAATCCCTTTAAGAAAGGAAAAAGACAGACTGCTTTTAAAATAATTTAAAGGATTTGGGGGTGTTTCAGGGAAAACAGCACAATTAATTTTATTATATTCTAAGAGGGCTCCCATTAAAAACAGTTCAGAATGGGGTTATTCTTTGAACTGATCCAAGCAGACAATAGTTTCCTGACAATAAATCCATGAAATACCAAATCATGGAATATTTTAGTATAACTGGAAGGTAACTAATTCTGCCAGAAGGTTTCAAATCTCAGTTTGCAAAGAAATAGGCTTCCCTCCCATTTGTCCAGCTCACACATTCTCACCTAATAATTTATTTTGCCTCAACTCAGCTATTTCTTTTGCAAACACAGTCAATTGTAGGAATTTCCTAGATTCTCTTCACATTCTTTCTACAAAAATAATTCAAGCAGTGAGAATATGCTGGGCACTGAGTGCATAATAGGAGATGAAACACTAACATGAAATGGAAAAGACTGATTATAACCAAATAAATAAATCCAATAAAAGACAGACTTTCAGCTTTGCTTGTTCCCCAAGAGTTTTAACTGTCTGCTAACTCCTGTAAAGGATCCATATATAACTTTAGAAAATTTACCTGCTGCAATGAAATTCCAAGAAGCCTAATCAATCATTTTCCTTCCCAAGTGCCACATAGCTTATTAAACTTTATGATCCATGCAATCATATATTGCTACATTAAATATGAGTGGAAAACAATATAGCCTTGTACTGCAAAAACAAATTTACCAGCAAAACAAAGTCAGCCATGGACAGGCAGACAGCTGTAAGGGTCTAATGTATGCTTGTCTCCCAACCCCTTCCTCAAGTCCCAGCTGCTCCAGATCAATATCCATTTGTGAGGCCCATTCTCTTCACCTACCTAAGAGCAACCCATTGTTCGAGCTGACTTCTACAACAGCCCCAGTCCCACTCATACAGCTGCCTCTTCTTTTTTTATTAATTTTTTTAATAGTGTAACTCAGGAATTTGTCCCTTGACTCTATTGTTGAAGCAGAAAAACAAGAAATCCATTATTGCACATTAAGCCAGAGTTCATTTTCATGAGTGAGCTCACTGGTCGGATATGAGCAAAGTAACTCTGAGCTAAATGTATACAGGAGTAGATGCTCAGTTTCCAAAACTATCTTAACTGGCCCCAAATAAGAGGGGGCAGAAAATGAGTAAGTAAAATTGGGTACATTCCAAAACCAAGAATTTTTGTATGAGAGCCTCAGTTTTGTTTTGTTTCTCCTGGCCATTTAATGCATTTGGCAAGCTTTAAACAGTTTAAATATTTTTCCAATGAGGTATTTGGATCTTAAAATAAAAATATAAAAAAAGGCTAGAGTTCTTTTATTACTTCATTTGAGTATGTCACTTACTCTAACATCATCACTTCTAGTATTCATAGAATTCTATTTTATAGCCAGGTTCCTGCACTCTGCTAAAGCACAGAATGATAAAAATGAGCTGATGATGTTAAGTTTCACATTCAGAGTAACAGATGCAGTGGCCTGGAGCTGCACAGAGTCAAAGGAGCTATTTCAGGAGTAATTTATAGTTCAGCTTTAGAGAAAATAAATTTTTGTCTTCTTTACTGCTCACTTGTGCATGCAAACAGCTCCAGAAAAGGTATTTCTTTGGGCTTCTTAGCGCTAGTGTTAAAATATTCACTCTGAACAGTATTCCGAGGAGGAAAGGCCTTGGAATAGTTGGTCTCTGGAAAACCAGACCATGACTTCAGATATCAGAGGATGATGCTGTGATGCAGCTTGCAGTGAACACACTCTCCTTTAACTGAGCAGCGATGACTGAACAAGTGCTCATGTTTCCATGAAACCACAGTCCAGATCTACAAACTGACATGTTACTCAATTGTAAGAGATGTCAAGGCTTCGTACTCATAAACGCCACAAAAAACCCCCTCCTCTCCTGAAAGGAATAAAATTAGATAGGCAGCATGAAAAAGCTGAAAAAGGTATATACATTTGAGGAGAAGAAAAGCAGTTTATTTTCAAATGCATGTGTCTGCACACGTTTGCAAAAAACTCACAGACTTTGCCCACTCCTCTCAAGAAGATACTTTTGCAACATCTTTTTGTTCCCAAATAAACGTGCACAGTGTGCATACATACTGCCTCCTCTCCAAAGCCTGTTTTTGTTAAAGCAATTCTTCTTGAGCTCATAGAGCAGCAACAAAACCAAAAGGTCATATATCCCAGTGCACATCTCATCAGGAAAAGCACTCTCAAGAACAAACTACAGCCCAGTACGTGCAGGAGTGTTTTCTGTAACTAACTCTGACAGAAAACTCTGGGTAAAGGAAGTGTAGCTCTGATATACTGAACTAGTTAAAAGAACACTAGCAGCAGGTAAGGCTTATTATGTGTGACCTCTTCTCTCACAGAACCTACACAGAATTGCCATTAACTATAATAAAACCAAATTTTTTCTCTCCTTTAGAAAGTCTCACTAGTTGATGGGGGAGAACGTAGGGCAGTTGGTAACCGCAGAGGCAGCAGTAACTTTCAGAATGTTGATTTTTAAGAATCAGAACTGTGGTTGTCTTCAGTGCTTTTAAAAAGAAATAATAATAAAAAAAACAGGCCTCAACAGCACTTACCTTGGATGAAAAACAAGATTAAGTGCAACAGCCATATAAACTGGCAACATGCACTATGGCTTCTCTCTCTTCTACAAGATAGCAAGGAAAAAAAACTAACATTATTCTCTCAAGATTATTTTAACCATATTTCCTGCAGATTATCTACCTAACCACTGAGCTGCAAAAAATCAAACTTTCAAACAGCATCAAAAGTTAGTTCCAGATGTTTAAATGACTCCACCAGGAATCCAGAGATGGCAGGTTCAAGCTAAGTGATGAACACCAGGGTGAGACATTGATGCTCTACAATATTTAATGACTGAAGTACTTACACAAGTATTTCTTTTGCCTTTAAAATAAGAAAGTAGAAGAAAGTTAACCCTCCAACCCTTTTACTGTGAAGCAACTTGTGTTAGGGAAATATATTTAGTCTCAACCTTCTTGAAAAATCCTGCAGTTTATCAATATGATGCAATTTAATAGTCACTGCATATCAGAATGAGACAGAAGAATCGCAGACAGGGAAAGTTCTCCATAGTCCTTGCAAACACACAGTACTAGTACAGCTTCCTGTATTGATCTGGTCAATCCTAGTACTTTATGCCTTTGACCAGCAGTCAGAAAAGAAATATATTTAACAGAAAAAGGGGATTTGGACATCTTTATGATGGGCACTGTCAATCCTGAAGGTGTGAGAAAATGTTAGCAAGCTGCTATATATTACATGCTGCCTCTTAAGAGAATTCAAAAAATAAATCTTGTTTAGAGTTACTTGCATACACCTTCTCCCCCTCATCACCAGTGAATATCGAACCAGGTTTTAAATACAAGAGAAATTTTTAAAAAACAAATACACTTTGCCATTTCAGTCTCCAATGCAGAAAAGAATGAAGGATATTTTGCTGAGAAAAATTTTCTAAGACACATTCCAGAAACAGCAAGAGGGTCAATAGACACACTGTCTTCTGGGTTTACACAGACAAAAAAATGCAGCTCCTCAGGGCTGTTATGGTGGGAGTGATATGAATAACTGAAAAGGGCAGAAAAAAGCTTTGGCTGCTATTCAGCTGATCCACACTAAGTGGAACAGTTCAACTTCTCAGCAGTCACTCTTGTCCAGAATGGCAGAGTTTCCAGTCAAAACTTTGGTGTAGTTTTC